AGCCAACAATGCTGCAATAATCTCATCAACTTTGATAGTCTCTTTCCCATATGTCAGAGTAGTTACCCGGTGTTCATAGGAAGAAGACAATGAACACAACAAAATCATTACTCGATCTTCATCCTCAATATTCACATCAAGCCGTGATAAATCCATGATTATTTGATTGAAGCCATTAACATGCTACGTCAAATCAGAATCTTCTTGCATCTTCAGCTCATATAACTTTTGTTTCAGATACAACTTATTCGTCAGAGATTTAGCCATAAACTGAGTTTCCAATTTCTTTCAAGCTTCTTCTGGAAATCTCAGATTCATCACGTGATACATAACTTCATTTGTCAGACATAAACGTATGGTTGTCGGCCCTCTCTGTTGCAATTATTCTCAATCTTCATCCTCCATAGCATCTCGTTTCGTTGCCCGCGAAGCTTTCAAGTTTCCTTGTTGCGCCAATAGATCATTTACCCTTGTTTGTCACAATCAGAAGTTACCAGTTTCATCGAACTTCACCACCTCAAATTTCGTGCCAGAAAATGCAATCTGAAAATTAAACCCGCAATAATTTTTTTTTAAAAAAATTCCTGCTTATAAAGGAATATATATATATATATACTTCTCTACCGCCTGTTTTCGCGAAAGAATATTCACTTTGATCGCCTTGCAGGAAAATCCACAAAATATTCTTCTAGTATTCCTTCTTCGTATTATTCAAGCAAATATTCCCCACACTGTTTGACGAAATTTCTCGAATGGAGGGAATATTCCTCTAGTGCAAATCCCAAATTCCCTTCCTTCCCAGTTCTTCTCCGCGTGCAGTGCCTAAATCTTCGCACCTTGTTCGCGTCCTTGTTTGCTCGCCCAAGCTTCCTTTATGAACAACCTTTCTCGGGAACAGGTCGCAACCTCCTCGAATTGCCTCCCACAAACAGCGAACAATCCTTCGCGCATCCACAGCGAACAGCTTGCCGCGAACAATCCTTCGCGCATCCACCAATCTCCTGTGATTCGGCTGGTCCTCCTGCGAGTTCGGCGCCAACAATCTGGCCAAAGTTCTTCGTTGAATCGTCGAAGCCCCGAAATTCACCAAACTCCTCTGCCCTAGCCATCAAATCTTCTTCTTCGCGCCGACAAAATTTTTTTCTTGCCCTCGAACCAGGCTCTGATACCACTTGTTGAGAAATTAGAGCGAAGGAAAGATAAGAACGACACAAATCCAGAAGAACACAAAGAGATTCAACAAGGTTCGACAAAGATGCCTACGTCCTCGGGAGCAAAGCGGTGACTTTTACTAATTCAGAAAAAGTACATAATACAGAATTCAGGGATAATCCCTAAGGGACATGCAAGCCTAATTTATAACCCTAGAAAGTACATAAAAAGGAAACCTTAGATACAATATGTAATTATCAAATTACCCTTGTACCACAACCCCAACCCACATAAGGAAACTCCCCTAATTTAGATAGAATCTTTCGCTAGCTCCGCTCTTAATTTAGCACTGTCCATTTATGGTATATGAGCCATATCTTCTCCTTGCTTCTCCTCTTCCATGACCTTAAAGAGGACTGCTCACAATAATATGGGCCATCCTTCTGATCGTTATTCTCCTGATTGTTTTGGTTTCTCACATGACATTGTCCAGCTTATCGCATACTCTAACAAATCACATTTACGCGTAACATTCATTTCATCTTTGGACACTGTCTTTATACCAAAGTAACGGTTCTGCTACATGGTGGGATGCGAAATGAAGGATCGAGGGGGAGTAAAGGAAGGGTCGAGTAAATGAATGAAAGGGGGGAGAAGAAGCGTTACGGTCAGGAAGACGAACATGTAAGTTTGACTATAAATTTGTCGTATGAGGGAGGCGAGACTTACCTAAGAGTTGAAAAAGGACGTCGAGAGAAGTAGAGGAGGGCTCTCGGAATCGCATGGGTTTCAATGATTGCAGTGAGTACGACTAGGGCAAAGAGTGTAGCAGGTGTTGGCGTTGGTGTCGAGCAATTGAGGAAGTCGAAGAGGAAGCTTTTTCTCGCGTGTTGTCGAACAGGCAAGGAATCTCGCGAGGGGGACAGCCAATGCCAGCTCTGTTGTGATTCGATTCTCGCATAGTGGAGGAAGATGAAGCACGGTACAGGGATCGATCGATTTAATATTTAATTAATAAAAGGGTAATAGTTAATGAAAATATTTAATAATTAAAATTCAAGTTTATGTTAGGTGTATAATTTACAAGAATAAACGTCAAGCCAAGTTCCAGCGTAAATTAATCGACATCGAGGTAAGTACTCATACTTTTAATATGATAATATTTTGGTTCTTCTCGATTTTTATATATTAGTAGATAATGATATTTGCTCAAATATTTTTTGATTTATATATTTTTCTTTTGATGGTTATATTGTTAGGAATGTTTATAGCTACTTAATATCTTGCATTGATGTATGTTATATATAGTGAGTTGAATTGAATGTGACGAGCACATGAATAATATATTTATGTTGAAGTTTATATATGTATGACTGATTATGATGAGGTCACCCCTTGATGGTACTAGTGGGAGAATATTAAGGTACTCATGCACGTATATAGAATATAATATTGATATTAATATGTCTAGATTGACACAATTTTAAGACGATGTTGCTGTGACAGTTGTATAAATATAAAATGATGTTGATATGCTATTGATATGATCATATTCATTGATAACATGTTAAATATTTATATTGACTTAATTTAAAAGTTTAACTGACATGTATTTTATTTTTTCTTTTTCCTTGTATTGTTGTGGCTTAAGAGCATGAGTATTCACTGGTTTGCTTAGCTCAGATTTATTGTAAAGTAAATTTTCAGGTTAATTAATAGATAGAAAGATGAGCGATAGAAGAGAAAACATGTATAGAAGATGAAGACAGTCAATAATGAGGTAAATTTAAATATATTGTTTTAATTTAATTTGATTAGTGGCTTTCATTTGTAAAATGTTATTTATAGTAGCAAATTTAATTCACATCATCCAATCGTCTGTTCCAGTCTTGGTTAATTTCAAGCCTCGGGTCGGGTAGAGACAACCCAAGTGTTGAAAAATTGCTAAAGAAGATCTAAAGTGGAAGACTATTATGTTGGATGAACTTGGTGCTCTCGATAAGAACAGGATGTGAGAGCTCGCATTGCTATTAGGAGGAGAAAAGGCACTTTGATGCAAATAGGTCTTCACAATGAAGCAGACCTTAGAAGAAAAGATTAATCGCTAGAATGCACGGTTGGTGGCGAAATAGTGCAATTAGACGTATGACATCGATTATGATGAGTCATTTGAACAAATGGCAAAAATGAGCACAGTTAGGACACTCGTATCTCTGGCTGTGAATGGTGGATGGAGGTTACACCAATTGGATTTGAAGAATGCATTTCTTCATGGGGATATGCTAGAGAGGTGTAAATGGAGAAGTCCTAGGCTTCGATACAAATTAAATAGTGGGCGGTGTATGAGGAAGTCACTGTATGGTTTGAAATACTCCTTGAGCTTGGTTTGACAGGTTTAGGAGAGTAAGGATAGACCTGAGCTATCAACAGATCAGTGTCGGTCACACAATGTTCTTTCGACAACATAGGGTCACATTATTATTTTTGCTGTATATATGGATGATATGATTGTCACTGGTGATAATAAGGGAAAGATTGGTCAGCTTACAACAAGTTTGACCAAATAGTTTGAGGTGAAGGATCTGGGACAGTTAAGATACTTTCTTGGGATTAAGGTAGCTCGTGGAGCAGAGGGGATTTTTCTTTCTCAAAGAAAGAACTTTTTCATAGAGATGGGAATGTTGGGATGCAAGCTTGTAGTTTCACCTATTAATCAGAAGGGAAACGTGAGCGCAGAGGCCGGAGAACTAGTTGATCGTGGGAGATACCGGAGGTTGATAGATCGTCTCATCTATCTGATTCACATACACATACCAACATATCATTTGCAGTAAGTGTGATGAGTCGCTACATGCATGATCCGAGGAAGGGTCACATTGATGCAGTGTATCAGATTTTGAGGTACCTGAAGAGTGCACTAGGAAAGTGTTAATCTACAGGAAAATGGGCATTTAGGCATTGAGAGCTACTGTGATTTTGATTAGGCTAGCTTTGCTGATGACAAGAGGTTCACATCAGAGTATTGCATGTTTGTAGGAGGCAATTTGGTCTCTTGGAAGAGCAAGAAGCAATCGGTGGTTGCGAGGTCGATGGTCGAGGCAGTGTACAGGGCCATGGTCTTAGGAGTTGCTGAGATGTTTGGTTGAGAGCTTTATTGGTAGAGCTTAAGGTGGACAAAGAAGCTCAAATGAAGTTGTGGTGCGACAAGAAGTAAGCAATTAACATTGCCAAATACCTGGTGCATCACGACATAACCAAGCATGTGGAGATTGATAGGTTCTTCATGAAGGAAAAGTTGAATAGTGGACTAATGGAGATTAGTAATGTAGCTACTAGAGAGCATGTAGCTGATTGTCTGACCAAGGGTCTTAGCTCATTAGATCTAACTAGATTGTGTGACAAGATGTGCATAGTGGATATCTTTTGCCTATTGATAGGGGGAATGTTGAGAATTGTATATAGTTTAGGGTTCTATTGAGTAATAGAGAATGTAGAGAGGTCTAGGGATTTTCTTGCAATAATTTATAGGCTCTATAAAAGCCCATCCAGACCAATTACTTGTTTAGTATTATTTATATGCGGTTCTGTTGGGAATCATTGCTAGTGGAAATCTGCCAGCTGCATCATTTTCTTGCAGCACCTGTGAATTTCTGCAGTGTGCAAGAGAAAAGTGGTGTGCAACTGGATGTGTGCTCGCAGCAGTTGGGAGCAAAAATGCTGCGTGGCAGCATTATCTCCATGTGTCTTCTTTGAAATAATTAGGGTTGATGAGAATTCTTGAGCAAATAGTCCGTCTAATCATGATAGGATTGTATTTTCTAATTACTGCTTCCATAATTCTCCAACAGAATTGGAGATATTATTGACGAAGATGTGGTGCATGCTAGGGCTTCTTTTGTTTCATGTACGCAGCAGTGCTTTGCCATTAAAGTTGGTGTCGATGGGCTTCTTGATGTTGCACGTCGTTCCTTTTGTGATACCAGTGAAGGTAATTTTATCCTTTTTTGTGGTAATTTACATTAGTTGATCTCACAATTCTAATTAATATTGGCAACAGCTATACATGAACTCGCAAACAAATATCGGAAGGAATTTAATTTGCAGAAATTAAAGATTCCTTTCAACAATAGACAAGGATTTTACTTTAGCATTCCACTGAAGGAAATTAATGGAAAGCTGCCGGAAAAGTTTATTAAGGTAATTTTTGTGCTGTTCTGTCTTCTTTGAGTGCATTTTTTTTGTCTTTTCTCATAATTGCTCCAATTTAAGTGTCAGGTCATGAGAAATGGGAAAAATATACATTGCTCAAGTTTCGAACTTGCTTCTGTAAGTTTTTTTATTGGATTTTTTTATTAGATTTTTATCTAAATTTATATACATAGATAATTTGAATATCAGGCCTTGGGAAATCTCTGATAACTTTTTATTCATTTAAATATGACTTTTGTAGAATGAAGTTTACTTTTCAAATCATTAGTCCTTTAAATAATTCTATTGGTCTATGGATATTTGATACCAAATGTTTAATTAAATCTAGACTTCTTTAGAAATATGCCTTTGAAGAAGGTTGAAGCCCAAAAGATCCCCACCGAGAGGGGCAGAATAATGAATCATTATTTAATGGAGTGGCTAACCTGAAAGCCTGTCAAGTACTTCATCACCATTTCAAACACCATGTGTCTCTTTATTTTTGGAATTGTGATTTATTTTTTAATGCAGCAACAACAACAACAACAACAAAACCTTTTTCCCACTAGGTGGGGTCGGCTACATGAATCCTTTTTCTCCATTGCGTCCTATTTAGTGTCATATTTTCATTTAATTCTAATAAATTATGATCAATTTTTATACAATATGCTCAAGTTCATCCTAGGTCTACCTCTGCCTTTCTTAACATAAGTCGATCTAAAACATCACTCTTCTAATTGGATCATCAGACGATCGACATTTAATATGACCAAGCCATCTAAGGCGACTCTAATTTTGTCTGTCACTGGAGCTACACCAAACCTATCACAGATATATTCATTTTGTATTTTGTCTGTAAAGTCACTCATCCACCTAATTATTCTCATCTCGGCAACACATAACTTAGTTTTATGCTTGTCTTTTAAAGACCAACATTTAGCGCCATAAAACATTGTAGGTCTCACCACCATCTTATTAAATTTTCCTTCTAGTCCAAGCAATACTTTTCTATCATACAATAGGCTCGAAGCATTCCTCAACTTAAACCAACCAACTTGAATTCTACTAATAACATCCTCACCAGTATCACCATCATTTTGAACAATAGACCCGAGATATATAAAGCTTTCACACCTTTTAATAAATTGATCACCCATAGCTACAACTCTGTCACTAGAGCTACTACTACTAAAAATACATTCCATGTTTTCAGTTTTAGTTCTACTCAAACGAAGGTCTTTAGACTCCAAGGTAGACTTCCATAATTCAAGTTTTTCATAAGCTTTTTCTCTCGTCTTATCCACGAGAAGGATATGATCAGCAAAAAACATACACCAAGGTACATCAGTGTCCAGTAAGATCATTCATAACTAAAGCAAAAAGATATGGGTTTAAAGCCAATCCCTATCGTAAACCAACAAAACTAGGATATTTGTTCAAACACAAGTAACTGTTCTTGTATGCATATCTTTAATGACTTGAATATAAGTCATATTAACACCTTTCTTCTCAAGAACTTTCTAAAGGGTATCTCTTGGAACCTTATCGTAAGGTTTTTCTAAATCAATAAAAGTCATATGTAGATCCTTCTTATTATCTCTGAAATTCTCCATCAAACCTCTCAATAAATATATAGTTTCCATAGTACACATGCCTGACATAAATCCAAATTGATTATGAGAAATCTTTGTAATACGTCTTAACCTATATTCAATTACCCTCTCCCATAATTTTAAAATATGACGCATCAACTTAATTCCTCTATAATTTGCACTCTTGTGCATCTCCTTTATTCTTAAAAGTAGGGACCAAAATACTCTTCCTCCACTCTTTGGACATTTTTTAGTTTTTAAAATAACATTAAAGAGTTTAATAAGCCAATAAACTCCCAAATCTCTTTAAATTTCCACACTTCAATTGCGACGGTAAAAATGAATTATTTTATTTTTATTAACGATATTAAGATCACTAAGATCTATCGTATTTTTTGAAACTTTATTAAAAAGTTTATCAAAATAATTCAACACCTATTTTGAATATCTTTTTCTAAGAAAATCATATTTTGATTTTCATCTTTAATACACTTTACTTGAGTTAAATCTTAATTTTTATTTTTTCTTTATTTGGCTAGTTTATAAATATATTTTTCACATTCCTTAGTATCTAATCTATTATAAAGATTACTAAAAACACAATTTTTAGCGTCACAGATTGTTCTCTTAGACCCCCTATGGGCCGTTTGATATTTTTCTTAGTTTTCTAAGCTTTTACATTTAAACAAATTTTTATAAAATACATTTTTATATTTTATCTTTCCTTAAACATTATTATTCCACCAACAACTATTTTTATTTGTAGAAGGTTTTTATTTTGATTCTCCAAGTATAACTTTTGACACTTGTTTAGTAGTTTGTGATGAATTTCTTTGAGAAAATCCTTCTTGCCAACAGTTTTGGTTTTCATCACCTCTGGGTGGAATCTGATTCTAGTATCTTAGTGAACATTATGAATGGGGCCAAAGATAGCTCTTGGCACCTGATATACTTAATTAAGGAAATTCAGCATATGGGGGAAGGTATTCAGTTTTTTGTTTCCCATATCCACAGGGAAGGTAATAGGCCTGCAAATTGGCTTTCTAGAATGGGGCTCCACACTGAACACACTTTGATAAGCAAATTCGTTAACTCTCCATTGGAATTACTTTTGGAAGGGGATCTGTTACCCCTACCTTTTGTTAGATCAAATTTTCCATAGGTTTTTTTAGGGGCTCACCCTGCTATTTTTTAGGGGTCCCCTTGCTTGTAACTTTTTATGGCTTTTCCTCTAATATAGTTGGAGCAGTGCTCTTTCCATATATATATATATATGTATGTATGTATGTGTATAATATATATATATTGAAAGCCCAAAGACTAATATATTAAACAAAAAGTAGGATACAGATAGATTTTGTGGGAGATCCAAAAAATGACACTCAGCCCACACAAAAACCACCATATCAAATGATTTAAAAAATAGGAGTATCAGGTAGCTGGAGAGAAACCTAATTTTGTCTTGTCTCTGCCGCTAGTTCTAGGGAAGGAGCCAGCTAATAAATTGTTCAGATAAGTGTCATTACTAGTAGTAACTAATGTATCATTTAATAGATTCCCTAGCTCGAGTTGTTCTCCATTCTTCTTTTTCCTCGTGTAGATCTGTCATTCCTCATCCGAGGATTGGCTCACCTGATCAGCAGAATGGTCTGAAGTGTGCAGAATATGTGTAGGTTGTTAAACATTAGTAGCAACTACTTGTTGTACCAGCTGGTCTTCTTTTGGGTCGAAAGAGCACTCTCGTGTGTCTTGGCATGTAAGTGAGATTTCTTCAATAACGATAAGTGGTATCAGCACATTTGAATCTGTACCTGTAGTAAAGTGTTCTTCATCTGGAACTGCGATGTTGGAAAGAGGATGGGATTGCACCTTCTCAGCAAGGATGGTAGATGACTGATCTTTAGCGATATTCCACTTTAGAAGAGGATGCAAGCAATAGCAAATATTAGAACTGTGGTCAAACATACTATAATGTGGCAATAAGGAGGATGTTGTTCTGATTCAACATTTTGCCAATACCCGTTGTTAATAGTGTCAATTCATATCTCATCCGGAGTTGGTTGAGTGATATTTCTCTCAACTAATATATAAGCCACAAAAGGTCTAGTGACAGTAAGCGTAAGACTATCCATCTTGAGAGACTTACTGTAAGCAGTTGCTAAAGAGTAGAGAATTTCTATGTTGATCAGAATTTTCACAAATCGATTGTTGATCTTGATAGCTTTTCGAGAGAAAATGCGAGTGTAATTGGCATCGTGAAATAACTGAATAAGTATATGTCGACCGTCAAGTAGACTGATGTGTCAACTGCCCAATAGTTTCATAGCATCAAACTCCTTCCTAATGATTTTCAGCTTTGGGTGATCATAAAATAATTTCTCCACAAGGGTAAAACGCCAAGAGGATGCGAGAGTACCAGTTTTCTCCTATGTGAGAATAACTGCAGACTTCCCATTTTTTTTCTAAGTTTTTTAATAAAAGTGTGATCACGTCCACCTTCAAGAGCCTCGTGGAACGATTGTGAAATATTGCAGGACTTACCGATAGCAAAACCAGGCTTTGAACGTGGAGGAGGGGCATGAGCAGAAATGGGCAAGTCGACGGCAAGGGCATTTGCATAGGAACGAAATATCGGGGCCATCTCCCTGACAAGATGGTCACAGTCAGGAGAGAAACATTTTGGTAGGCTACAAAGAAGCGAGCAAAACGGGTGTTGTCGGGCGAGGAGACAGCCGCGATGTCGTCGTCTACGAGAGATGACTGCGAGAGAAAGCGCCGTTGTCAATGGAATCAGACGACGACGGCAGTAGCGATCCTTGTCGACAATGGAGACGACTTGGAGCGCTCGACTTCAACAGGAGAGAAAGGGAGCTGCAGCTACGTGATCGTCGTCATGCGAGACGCCAAAGAGAAGTGATTAAGCCGATAGAATCACCATTCCATCGTCTCTGCAAGGGCAGCCATGGTATGCATAAGCCGATAGAATCGATATATATATATATATATATATTACGAAAAGCCCAAGGCCTGATTTTATTGAAATAGAAAATGATACATAAAAGTTGTATGAGAAGAGCCTAAAAGAGACACCTTATCGTACGATACAAGTACAGTAATACCCCAACAAAAGGATATATATAGACTTAATAAAATGTAAAACAGATTTAAAACATACAGAAAGCAAGTAGCTAGGGACGAGCCAGTTTAGTTTTGCCTGTTCCCCTAATTTTAGGAGCGGAACCAGATAACAAACTTTGAAGAGTTGTGTCATTGTCAGGAGTCACCAAAGTATCATCCATTAAATTTCCAAGTTGGAGTGAGTTCCCAGCCTTCTTGCGTCGAGAAGTATAAACCTGTCATTCTTCATTTGAAGACTACCTCATGTGATCCTCGATCTGATTTGATGTTAGCACCGTAGTAGGAGGAAAGACAGTCGTTGCCACCGCGATAGCGATAGGCGATAGGTTCCAGTGTATGTGAAGTGTGAAGTGTTACCTTTGCACCTGATGTTTCTTGAATAGGAGCTGCGGGACTCCTGATTTTTAG